GAATAACATTTTCGGGCTCTGTTACTGCCGTCTACATTAGATTGCGATTTCTTTCGTATATAATGTCTATTTAAAAGACCCTAATGAAATCAATCTTGCTTATCATTTTTAACCAAATTTCTTATCTTATAAAATCCTTGCTTTATGTTTTCAACATCCATGTTTTAGTTGATTTTAGTCTCTGATGCATGCTTTTTATTTATTAATTGTTTTTGGCTTTTAACTGCGAGTACTCTCAAATCGTACTTTCTTGTTTATTTGACCTGTTGATACTAATTGTAATGCTTTTTTGTTATATAATGTTATTCAGTGTTATATCTGGTCTATATACATGAGTGCCAACATGCTGAAACTTAATGAAGACAAAACAGACTTAATCATTTTTGCACCAAAACATCAATTGAAGCATCTTTCCGATTTCGGTCTGACATTTGATGGAACTGTGTTAAACGACGTTTCTTGTGTGAAAAATCTGGGAATGTACTTTGATAAAACCATCAGTATGGAACATCAAGCCAGTGCGATCACTAAGGCTTGTTTTTACCAAATTCGGAATATTGGTCGAATTCGATCTTTAATTTCAGTAGAATCCTGTTAAACACTAGTATGCTCCCTAGTTACACCAAGGCTGGACTATGGCAATGCATTTTTGTACGGTACTAACACAAACATTATCAGTAAGTTACAGCCGGTCCAAAATACAGCAGCACGTTTGATTACACGAAAAAGGAAATTTGACTCAATTACGCCTGTTCTAATATCGTTACACTGGCTACCCATACATTACCATTGCCAATATAAACTTCTTTTATATGTGTACAAAGCCCAGCATGGCAAGGCTCCTAGCTACCTTCAAGATTTAATTACGCATTACAAACCCAGTAGATCCCTCAGGTCGGAAAATTGTATGCTCTTACATCCCCCGAATGACGTCCTAACGAAAAACTACGGTGTGAGGCGTTTTGACAAGGCTGCACCTACACTCTGGAACAGTTTGCCATCGTCCTTGCGGAGTGTAAATTCTTTAGATGTTTTTATAAAGCAACTCAAGACTCACTTATTTCGAACTGCTTTTAAGAATTTCTTGTAGATTTCATATACTTTTAATTGACTGCATTAGTTTTAGACTGTTTTTTGTATATTTTAGGGTACATGCATTTTTCATTTTTAGTATTTTATTAATTTTCATAGGCTTGTTTGATTCTTGTAAGTTGGTGCTTTGTAATTTATGTTTTATGTATTTTTGTATTTTATTTATTTTCAAATGTGAAGCGCTTAGAGTAATTGTTGTTATTATATAATGCGCTTTATAAATATTGTATTATATTTTTTTTATTATACCAGCTTTGATAAGTGTTTGGTATTACTATAAATTTTCACTTCGTACTATGAACATCAAAATTATTTATTTTGTAAAAATATTTCCTTTCTCTATTTGAACTGTACACGTATACCTAACAACAAAATTATTTCATTTACCTGTGTTTAAAGTAATTGCAAATGGCTGATATTTTTGTTCGAGCATGTTGTTTTTCTTAAATTGTTTAACATTTCATAGCAGTATAACATGTTACTTTGATTATTCTTCCCTTAATCTGATGTTAAGTTGTTGTCGTTTGTTGATGTGGTTCATAAGTGTTTCTCGTTTCTCGTTTTTTATATAGATTAGACCGTTGGTTTTCCCGTTTGAATGGTTTTACACTAGTAATTTTTGGGGCCCTTTATAGCTTGCTATTCGGTGTGAGCCAAGGTTCCGTGTTGAAGACCGTACTTTCACCTATAATTGTTTACTTTTATAAATTTTGACTTGGATGGAGAGTTGTCTCATTGGCACTCATACCACATCTTCTTATATCTATTAGCTCCTTTTTTACATCTTCTATGTCCATTTTAAATTCTGAATGAGTGACATACTGAGTTTGGCTCGCCGTCCTACATACATCGAATTCTTCCGTTATCACTTGTGCTATGCATTTTCATCGATATTTACCTGTCTGACATTACAGTTTTTTTCTACATTTTTCCTACAACACTCGTTCCATGAGACTATATCTATTGCATCTTGCAATGTAGCTGGTTTCTGTATGAGGACCTCAGTAGCTAGTGACTGGTCTGACAGACCCTTAAGAAAGTGTTTGGTTTTTTTTTTGTTTTTAAATGGTCCAACAACCTCAAGTCATTGACTTCTGTGTAGGCCTTACCTAAAATCCCCCAACAGGAGAAGAATGTTCCTTGATACTTCTTTGCGACCCCGTTTAATCAAGTGCAAATAGGTCCTTTAAGTCTCTGGTAAAATATAATTCAACATATCTGAAACATGGCGTCAAGTATTTCATTTTATGTTTTCGTGTAAGGACGCAGGAAGCTCATTAACATAAATGAGCTGCGTCGGATAGAAATCGACCTTATGCAAATGAATATCAATACATTCGTTAACTTATTTCGGGTTGAAATAATCTCTCTGCAAAGTCTGTATCTGTTTGAAAGTTGAGTTTAATATATGAACCCTATAAAACAAACCTAAATTCATCTTTTATTTCGTATTTGAATGTTCAAAAACCAATCAAAGTCTTTGAATGTACATGTAAACGAGTACTTGCATAAGTTCGATTTGTATCCGACGCAGCTCATATATTTTGGATTCATCTCTATTACAATTTAAAATGAGCTCCTGCATTTGTCTATCACTGTACCAAATGAACCTGTTACTCAATAACCTAAACTGTGTCCAGAAGGCCTTGAAATCCACCTTGCCTTTAAAGAAGGGGCTTTTTGGTTTTGGTTCTTTTCTTTGTAGTTGCTGTACATGCCTACTTACTCTTAAAGATAAAGATGTATAAGTGTTGTTATTACTTGGAAAAGTTACTTTCTGTGGGGTTAATCAAAATCAGTATAACAAAAATACCGAACTCCATTGCTATCAAGCAACGGAACAAGTGAAAAACAAGCTGGTTATTTTGTTCAGTTGAAGTCCTGTTCAAGTCTATGCTATTTTGACTGAAATCTTGTGTATTAGTGTTATTCTCCATTGTATTGGTATCACACACGTTTCCCCTTTTTAAACGAGTTATCAGTTCCTGATTTACCTTAATTTGTATACTTATTATGACACGCCCATCAATATCAGGCGTATTCTAGTATCGTGACACGCCTATTGATATTAGACTTATACTGGTATATAACACGCCCATTAATATAAAATGTATCCTTGCATGATGACACGCCAATCAATATAAGAAGTATACTGGTATTATTGCATGCCCATCACTATTAGAGGTATAATTGCATTATATATGTGCTGCGTTGGATAGAAATGGACTTATGCAAGCGCACGTATACGTACACATGTATAAGACTTTAAATGATTTTGGAACATTCAAATACAAAATAAAAGATGAATTTTGATCTGTTTTGTAGGGTTCTTATAACAACTCAATTTTCAAACAGTTACAGACTTTCCGTAGAGGTTTTTTTTCAACTTGAAATAGGTTAATAATTGCATTGGTATTCATTTGTATTTCTATCCGACGCAGCTCATATGATATGGCTATCAGTATTGGGAGTATGCTGCTGTGATAACACGCCCATCAATACAAGACGTTTACTGGTATTATGACACGCCCATCAATATTAGACGTTTACTAGTATTGTGACACACCTATTAATATTAGACGTATACTGGTATTATCACATCAATCAATATAAAAGATATGCTTGCATTATGACACGGCCATCAGTATTAGAAATTTATTTGCATTATGACACAGCCATCAATATTATTCGAATAGACAGAAATTTATTTGCATTATGACACAGCCATCAATATAAGATAATGTTGGAGTTTAATAAAATAAATTTGCAAAGTGTGTTTTATTAATGTATGACTGTTATATTTTTTCTGACTATGAACAAATAACATCAAAAATGTGGTTCACAATGAATAACCCGCGTAGCGCGTTATTTAAAAGTGTGCACCACATTTTTAGGTTACTTCGAATAGATAGAAAAATATTGCTTATGATTTAATTCTAAATTCAATTTTTAAGGAGTAAATCATGAAAAAAACGTTGATGACGTCGGGTCACATGACAAAATTATGTCTATGAGCTAATAGACAAAAAACTTTCAGCCTATCAGATGACGTGTTACATCCAAAATTAAATTATTTATTGAGAGACAGGTACACGATGTATAGAACGTGACAAATTCCTCAATTCGCCAGAAATATAAGAGGATCTGGATAGGGGTTCTTCATTTCTACATTAATTTTTTGGGCCATTTTTTCTGTTTATAAATTTTACCTAATTATTCTCTATTCTTCATACTTAAGCACCGCATTCTGTATTTTCGTATACCTATTTTTCTCTATTCTGTATTTGGTATACCTATTTTTCTCTATTCTTTATATATTTTGCTTTTTATTCAGAATTTATTGCCGATTATTCTCTATTCTGTAAACTCCATCCAGACCCTAATATAACAATTGTTGGCTCTGTGAGTGATGGCTTACTTCTTTAAACTGGATCCTGTCGGTGTTTTCATGATATCTCAATGCCAAATAGGGTTACAATTCATCGACTATTACAGGAATAGAAGACCTTATAGAATTATAGAATTGTTGGTCTAAAATGCTCTTAAATTTTGTACTTGATTTGGCCTTTTAAGTTTTTTGACTGGCGCATTAAGGATGATTTTTTTAGATGACACGGAGTCTGGCGTATACAATTATAAGACTGATATTTTAGATGCGTTTTTTAACACATATGCAGGACATTATGAAATGAAAATAACTTTTTTTTGTATTTCCGCTGATGTTTCAGAAATTATCTTAAGCTACATAGGGAATAAGGCCAAATCAAGAATTAATTAACAAGACCTATGACTATAAAAATCTTTAAAAAAGAGAGACGAAATGTATCAAAGGGACATTCAAATTTATAAGTCCAAAATAAACTGACAACGCAACGTTATTTGATCATAAGAAAGAAAGAAAACATATGTACATGAATATCAAATATCCTTTAATAATGAAAAACAATTTTAAAATTCTAGGTTTTACTTAATACTCTTCGTCGTCATAGGATGGTGCTGCAAAATAAAAATATTTCAATTATTATGAATATGGATAAATCATAACATTTTATATCAATATGGATAAATCATAGCACGTGCTATACATATGTATAAATCATAGCATGTTATATCAGTATGTATAAATCATAACATGTGATATCAATATGGATAAATCATAGCATGTGATAGCAATATGGATAAATCATATCATGTGATATCAGTATGTATAAATAATAGCATGCGATATCAGTATGGATAAATCATAACATGTGATATCAGTATGGATAAAACATAGCATGTGATATCAATATGGATAAATCATAGCATGTAATAACAATATGGATAAATCATAACATGTGATATCAGTATGGATAAATCATAACATGTGATATCAGTATGGATAAATCATAACATGTGATATCAGTATGGATAAATCATAACATGTGATATCAGTATGGATAAAGCATAACATGTGATACCAATATGGATAAATCATAGCATGTGATATCAATATAGATAAATCATTGAATTGATATCAATATGAATAAATCATAGCCTGTTTAAATGTTTGGAAATTTCATAGTCGTTTCTTATATGAGGGTTTGGAGAGGGTTTACAGAATAGAGAATACTTGACTAAAGATACAAAATAAAGGGTAAAAAAAAAGCATAGAGAAAAATGAAAAAAGAATTAAGAATAGAGAAAAATTGAGTGTTAAGATATAAAGAAATAGAGAATAATTGACCAAAACATACAAATAGTGAAACATGGGACAAAGGATTAAAGAATACAGAAATGAAGGTTCCCCCGACCAGACCCTCTTATATTGCCAAATATTTATATGTCAATATAGGTATAATCTTTTTACAAGTTGTTAAGACAAGCTATCTTGTTCTTATAAAATAATATCTTTTAGCATATGACTTTATATACTTGTTCTGGTCAACTGTGGTGATAAGTACTTTGTTGTCAGTTTATTTTCTACTTATGATTTTGAATGTCCCATTGGTATCTTTAGCCTCTCTTTTTTTTAGCTGAAGAAAGAGAAAAATTAAACACTTTAACTTCACTGAGGTTGAATGCTTTTTTTTTTTTTTAGAAAAACGGAAGGACATAATATGCTCTTCATTCTTTTTACTGTCTTGGTGTATGTTTTATTCATACAACTTCTATGTTCATGACCCCAAGGGTGACTGGGGAATAGAAGTATGGTCACAATTGGTCTTCCTCCGACCGGCAGTAAAACCCGTGCTAAGGTGGGGCGTCCGTTTGGCTGTGCGGGATGTACAAATTTGCAGCCACGTCCAGTCAGAATGGGGACGTTAAATCCGATGCCTCGTGTAAAGAAAGTGCCACGTTCTTTGCACGTTAAGAACCCTTGCAACAACTCTTTGAGGGGTCCGTAGGTGACCTGTTGCAAGGCTAAATTTCTGTCCCTATCCAATATACCCTCATTTCCCGTGGCAGTCTAAATTTCTCCGACCTTAATCCCGGAAGCCCCTATTACAGAACCTACCTATTGTATTTATTGTGAACTTGTTCTCGTCCTGAATATGCATGAAATATTTGCCACTGGACTTAAGCAACCAACAATCAATCAATCAATCTATGTTCATGTATATGTACTACTTTTTTTTTCTCTTTTGTCAGTGTGTCAACATTGATCGAATTGGTTATCAATCTACCAAAAAAAAATGTTACCTAGTCATACAATTCTTCACGCCAAGTCATCTCACATAGGATTTGGTATGCCAAATGTTGTTAGAATGTTTGTATTGTTTCTGTATAATTCGGAGATATATATTGCAGTTTTATGACAGCATTTGTCAGATATTTTGTTCAATATAGTTTGAAAAAAAAGTTGATATTACCCCGCACCTGTGTTCTTTGGTGCATATTTGTAACGTGAATTCCACTCAAACTGATATTTCCTGGTACGGTGACATATCTTCCTGTGGAATTTACCTTGTAAGTAAGTACGTTAAAATTCACGCTTAGCGTATCCGTATAGTACATGGTAGGGTTCATATTTCTACCGCACAATCATGTTCTTGGCTTGCATATACAATTAATTTGAAACTGATCTTTTAACAGCTACCCATCATCATTATCAATATTGAAGGCTTCTCTTTGATTGATACGTACGTGATTTAAGATCACACTACTTAATAAGTACATGTTCTAAGAGCACCATATTCGATACGTACATGATTTGAGAGCACCATATTCGATACGTACATGATTTGAGAGCACCATATTCGATACGTACATGATTTAAGAGTACCATATTCGATACTTACATGATTTAAGAGCACCATATTCGATACGTTCGTGATTTAAGAGCACAATATTTGATACGTACGTGATTTAAGAGCACAATATTTGCCACTGTATCCTTTAGTACATTTACACACATATCCGTTTCCTTTAACAGTACACCTTCCTCCATTTTTGCAAGGCCTTGAAGCACAAGGATTTGGTTTATCTACAAAAATGAAATTAATCATCATGTACAGTCATCTATTGAATGTTAAAAAACACATCAAAGATACCAGGATTATGAATTCGTACGCCAGACGCGCGTTTCGTATAAAAAGCGAAGTGCAAATCAAAAAAGTTAAAAGGCCAAGTATTTCATAAAATGTATGAAATGTTGTGCGATGTTATTTTTATGTTAAGATCTTTTAGATGACGATATGATAATTGAATTTGAGAATCTCAAAAGTATTATTGTTAAGTGGTTTTCGACAAGAAAAGAATATACATCGGTTAAAGTATGTTTGAAGTTGGAATAATTTGATTCAGGCTTTGACATTTCTTCATTTGCAGGAAAAACTGCGCAAAATCCGTCTCAATTTGAGATCCATGCATGATTGTTAGACATAAATATTGGAATTTTGTTATTTTAATACAAACATGATTTTATAGAACAATGTCTGCCACTGTATCCATAAGCGCATTTGCAGCTATAAGTTTTTCCATTCCAAATACACTTTCCTCTGTTTTTACATGGCTTTGAAACAACACAAGGGTTTGGTTTATCTTCAAAACAGAAACTTAAGATGGGAAGCACGTATTTGTTTTTCTTTTTTTTTTGTGTATCTGACAACAATAAGGTTATGTCTTTCAAGTTATAAATCTTGTAGAAAAAAACAGAGAAATATAAACCTTCGTGTAATTTCTTATTAAATAATCGGGGTTTTTTTGTGTAAAGAACGATATATTTGCTAAAATATGTTACCCAACATTATCCGCGTGTCTGAATTCAGCATTTATCAGGTCGTTAGTTTTCTCGTTTGATCTGTTTAAAATTTGTCATTTCGGGGCCTTTCATATCTTGCTATACGGCATGGAATTTGCTTTCTATCACCAAATAATAAGCAAACATTAAACTATAACTGATCCAATATCTTTTCTATGTCCCTTTCTGAATGTTGCTGATTGTATTTGTTAGTCCTTTATACCTTTTTGAATATTTGCAACTGGACAATTGTATTGGGAAGGATAAATGTTTTAATTGTATTATTACGTCTACCGTGCGAGACTCTCATGGGTAGTCAAGGTTGTGGACCACCGACGGGTAACAATAAACAAACAGAAATTATGTAAATTACCAATTAACTTTTTAATAATTTTCAATTGATAACTTTTGTTTCTATAATTGCAAATCCTTGCAAAAATAATAGTTTAAATATATTCAACATTGTTTTTTACACAATATATATGACAATAAATATGAAGAAAACCAATGCTTGCTATGCTTCTATCCACTTCTTCAAATAAGAAATTCTAGAACAAGCATAATTCAATCGGGTTTCAGTTATCAAACACACTATTTAAATTATCGTGACTGTTACTGTAGATTGACTACATTGTTGGTTTCACTCATTCATCCTCATAACCATGCTGGAGTTTTTTTTTGTCGTGAAACCAATCGTTTTTACGAAGTAAAAGATATCAAAGCAACTGTGTTAAACTAGATGAAAAGTCCGTAAGTTGAAACACCTTTGCTTAAAAAACAAACTATCTCAAAAATATTAAGTCTTTCGAAGAAATCAAAAAATTGCATCAGTAAAAATATACAGGTACTAATATTTAAATTTGGATTACTTTGCCTCAGTCCTTCCAAATTCTTGACAAAAGAGCTGCACCAAAACGTTTTATTTGTAATTCCCTGTATAACTTTCAGATATGATGGTCTGAATGGGCTTTATTTTTTTATTTTTTGGACCATGTATTCTATACAAAATCTATTTTGTCCATTATACTTTATTCTTTACATTTTACACTCGAGTATTCTCTTTCAAGCCTTTAGTTTTCTCAATTGTGTTTATCTTTTCGTCGTTTTTGGTTTTTACCATGGCATTGTCAGTCTGTTTTCGACTGATGATTTGAATATTCCTGGTATCTTTCGCCTTTCTTTAATATTTTCCCTATTTTTTTTTAATTCTTTATTTTTAGCCCATTATTTAGCGCTTTTTGTCTATTACTCTCCAGACCCCATCCAGACTCTCAGATATAGATGATTGAATTAAAATACATTTTTTACGTACATGCTTTATCAGTACAATGTCTGCCACGGTATCCATAAGCACATTTGCAGGTATAAGTTCTTCCATTATAAATACATTTTCCTCCGTTTTTGCATGGCTTAGAATTACATGGATTTGGTTTATCTTCAAAAAAGAATTTTCACATTAAAATGTGGTATATATCATATATTAATGTAAACCTAAATACTTGGAAAGATCAGAGAAGAATAAAACTAAAGCTTAATTAAACTTGCATTTCTTCCACCCGATAGTATTAAGGAACGACAAGTATGACTTTCATTTTACAATTGAACAAAATAATCAAGGAGACAGTTTACACCTTATCGCTACTTAGTGCAATCCGAAAAAAAAAAACAGTATTTTAGACAACTTCATGTTTGTGTCAAGTGTCGCACTAACAAAGGGCATAAGTATGAAAAATTGTAATCCCAATACATTGTTTAAACAGGACCCAAAATAGCTTCAACAGGTTTCTGACGTACTGAAAAAAGTTGTGTAATTTCAGAACTTATCTGGAGTGGAATAACTATTGATAATGTGTTCAAAATCTGGCATTTTAACATGAAGTATAATAATATCTAACCTTCACATGTAGAACCTGAGTTTCACCCGGAAAATTTACACTTATAACCATTTCCCTCGCATTACCAAATCAAAACCTAGCATTTCAACATAAAGTATAAAAATAACTTACCTTCGCAAAAAGTACCTAAGTATCCTACGACACATTTACATTTATAACCACCTCCTTCGTTTTAACCAATCAAAATCTGGCATTTAAACATTACGTATAATATTATCTGACCTTCACATGTGGGACCTGAGTATCACCCGACTAATTTACATTTAAAACCATCTCTTTGTATAAACCAATCAAAATCTAACATTTTAACATGAAGTATGATAATATATAACCTTCACATGTAGGACCTGAGTGTCCTCTGACACATTTACATTTATAACCACCTCCCTCGTATATACCAATCAAAATCTGGTATTTTAACAAGTTTAATAATATCTAACCTTCACATTTACATATATAATCATCTCCCTGGCATTAACCAGTCAAAATTTAACATTTTAACATAAAGTATAAAATTATCTAACCTTCACATGTGGGACCTGAGTATCCTCCGACACATTTACATTTAAAACCATCATCACTGTTGTCAGGGTAACACCTGCCTCTGTTCTGACATGGATTGGGTTTACATACATTTTCTAAAGAATGAAAACAATAACTTATAATTGTCATGCATCCGTAGCGCTTTTATGAAATTACCTTCAATAGGATCGCTCAAATCCGATCATTTGAAAGCCAGGGATGTATAAGAATCTTGAAATAATAGCCAAATCCATTTGCGGTTAACTTTGCCTGAGGGAGTTGAAACCTAAGTTTCTTAATGATTATTTAATTTATAAACAAACAATGTAAGAAAGCTTGTATGATATAAAATTGTTGAAATAAGTAACAAAATTAAACGCAAAATATGAATTAGCATAAATGGAATTAATATACAAAATTGTGAAAAGAACTTAAGAAAATCCTGAATGCATTTTGTTTGCCTGTAGAGGAATTTTCGTTTCAAAGATTGTTACTAAAATCGAACTTTTATTTCCCACATGGTCTCTCCCACTTTAGAATATAGGATCTGTTTACCCTTCTGGAGCACCTGAGATCACCCCCAGTTTTTGGTGGGGTTCGTGTTGCTTAGTCTTTAGTTTTCTATGTTGTGTTTTGTGTACTATTGTTTTGTCTGTTTGTCTTTTTCATTTTTAGCCATGGCGTTGTCAGTTTATTTTTCATTTATGAGTTTGAATGTTCCTCTGGTATCTTTCGCCCCTCTTTTAGACTGTTCTTGCTTGCAATTTCAAGGTTTTGTTTTCATATTGACATAGAAGTCAGATCATGTAAAGAGTTTCCCGTGAAATACATTTGGTTGACTGTATATGTTATGTCTTGCTGTATAACATCATGTAAAGGTAACATGTAACAACTGTTCCCGACATTATGCTCGTTGAAGGAATAACTAATTTTGTTTTCATTTTGCAATATGAACAAATTAGTTGAAGTATAGTCTGACAGATGTCAACCCATCATTTTCACACGTTTAGAGCATTTGTACATTTGTATTTGCTTACTCATTTATATTTAAGGGTCAGGGATGGGGTTTACAGAATAAAGAATAATTGCAAAAAGATATGATGAATAGAGAAAAATTAGCAAAAAAAAGGATAGAGAAAAATTAGCAAAAATATAGGGAATAACAGTGAAAAATAAAAGACAAAGTAATACAATAGTAATTATAGAAATGAACAATGTACAGAATATAGAAATCAAATCGTATAATAGCAGAAAAAAATATAATAAAATCAGAAAAAGCGTTAGTTTTAATGATTAAGAAAAATGCCGGAAAATGTAAAGAGTACAGAAATAAAGATCCCCTAATCAAGACTTTTATATTTACCATCAGGTGATTTTATCTTTATTTGAATGTAATTTTCTGCATTGATTATTACCCAATTATACTTTTTTAGATATTATGAACATATTTATCTGATTACCATCAAGTACCAATGAACTAATTTACCCTTGAAAGTAATATCATATAACTTTATCCTGGTATTGATACAGCTTCTGTTATTTAATTACGTGCCAGAAGAGTTGTCGATTTTAAATTCCACATAACTTTACCATAGCTTCACATACGACACCAATCTGATTAAAATACAGATTCTGTATCCAAGCTCTGCTTACAAGGATCTGAAAATACTCTGTAATACTTTTTGTTTTCATAAGCGGATCCAGAGGAATGTCTGGACCCCCGCCCCCTCCCCCCCCCCCCTTTTCAGTGGGAATTTTTTTTCCTAATGATACACATGTCTTTAACTGTCCTTTGCACTATACTATGGATTCAGTATTATTCGTTGAATTCCAATTTTCAATGATTTCGTGAATAAAGGTGTACCACAAATTTGAATGTTTAAAAAAGTAAACATTTCATTAAGGTCTTTACGCAGATTTTTGGCAAATCCTCGAAATTATATAACCACGAACCAACATTTGTTCCTCAATCCACGAAAATTGGTACCCATGAAAATAAATGAATCCACAGTATATATATCCGTTAACTGGTATCTTACCATCGCAAGTAGGACCAGAATATCCGCCTACACACTTACATCTGTAACCATCGCGTCCTTCGGGATAACAACGGCCTTTGTTCTGGCATGGGTTAGGTTTACATACATGTTCTGTTAAATCATAAATAAAGATTCTACCACTGCATCGAGTATGATACGATATTTCTCCACCCGAAACAGTTAAATTATCAAATTTTGAAAGCGAAGCTAGCTGGGCGTTTCAAATATTTAAGATTTAACTGTCGAGATTGGAGAAATGTCGTTTTACACGAGATCTGGTGGTAGAATCTTTTTTTTTTCAATGATTTTAGACGATAAGCAGCCAAAACTTAATTCTCCTTTTCCAATAATCTACACGAAGATGTGTAAAATATCAGGCATAGGCGTCTTTTTCGTGACGTCACATTAGGAAATTCAGAGAAAATTTGACGTCATAATTGAATTTTTAATGAAGAACTCAGTTCATATTAACCACACGTTGATTAAACAAAAGAGATGTCAGAAAAAGGTTAATTCGGCTACGAATTAGAAAAAAAAACTTATTCTGAAAATTGATCTGTTATCTTAAACGCATTGTAAGGACTACAATAGCCAAAGGTACAACCAGATTATTCATAACATTATTTCATTCGATAGGATTTTTTTTCAAATGACTGCTAGGTACAGTAATATACAAAATAGAGAAATCAAATAAACAATAGAGTTAACATTATCTTCAAAATAGTGTAGCTTATCAAAGACTTTAAAGAGTTTTTAACACATCAAAACATAGATGATAAACTTGTCACCATATTAAATAACGAGTTTTTTTAATGGGTTTCAGCAAATTTATGAAAAACTAAAACCTAACAGTTATTGGATATTTATTACTCACTTGTATATAGTTTTGAGTGTATCGAATTACAAATGACTATCATTAAACAGAAATCCTTGTGTATCGTCGTCAGTGCACACAAGAAATCATTGATATGATGATGAGTGGCAAATCGTTTCTGTGATAAGTGTTTTTTTTTCAAATATATATGCATAGCGATTTTGGGGTTCATGCAATTGATTTTCCTAGTTGTAAATTTTAACCGATATTACAATTTGTGTATTTCACTTTTCACATTTCACCCATGTGTATGCTAGCATATTCAGATTCATTTAACTTTTAAATGCCTTTTTCGAAAAAATAAATTATCATTGACTTTAACGTGGGACAAAATCGTTCGAACCTGGTTGAGAAGTAATTTATTTTACATTTTTATTTACATATACCGGACATGATTATACATTAATTGTTATCTAACCTCCACAAGTTGGGCCCGAATATCCACCTTTACAGTTACATTTGTAACCATTGCCTCTTGGGATACATTTTCCTCTGTTCTCACATGGATTGGGTTTACAAACATGTACTAGTATAAAATGAGAAAAGAATGCAAATGTTAACAAAAGTTTTATAATCAATTGCAATTTTTTTTTATTTAAATAAGAAAAAGTGTTTGAATGTGTAGTAGAAAAAACAAAGGATATGTAGTATCCATCCATGACGAATCACTATGGACAAGGAGAACTATGATTCCTTAGCCAGGTATGTCTTAAGCTCTTAGCCGTTTGTTTTACGTTTTGAGTAGTTCGAATTTTATTTTGGAATCTTTTTAAAAGATATATTACATGGATAAAATTGAGAATGAAAATGGGGAATGTGTCAAAGAGACAACAACCCGACCATAGAGCAGACAACAGCCGAAGGCCACCAATGGGTCTTCAATGCAGCGAGAAACTCCCGCACCCGGAGGCATCCTTCAGCTGCCCCCTAAACAAATATGTATACTAGTATACATACCAATCTGATTAAAATACAGATCCTGTGATTAAGCTTTGCTGACAAGGATTTGACAACGATCCGTTTTACTTTTTGTTCTGGTAATTATTAGCTCAGCCAATTAAATCTAAAGCTTTAAAGTTTTTGAAGGTGTGTAATAGTCCGACAAAACCAGAGGATCCCGAGAGGTCTTAAAAACAGAAAATAGAATGGAGCGATTTCAGATTCGTGTTAGCAAAGCTTGAAAACGTGATCTGTATTTTGATCAGATTGGGATACATACACGTCAGGTAAAGCAAAAGTCTCGTTGTTGATATTGTTCTGAAGCTTGAACTATCTTTTATCCATTCTTTTTTTTTGTTTACTAAATTGTTTCAACAAAAGGGAAGATTATGCCTCCTTAATACCCTCATTTGCTAGTGACAGTTCAAGTTTCCCCGACCTTCATGCAGAAATGGATACATTTACAAATTTGAATCCATACAACTTCATTATAATGAATCAAAAAGCTTACGGTTGATATAAGTAAATATTCTAACGTATCCTACCAGATGTAAATGCGAAGATGTATATTACACTATATAAAACCTTACCATTACATGTAGGACCTGAGTATCCTCCAGTACATTTACATTTGTAACCACCGCTGCCGTCAGAGGAGCATTTTCCATTGTTTCTACATGGATTAGGGGCGCACACATATTCTATTAATGAGAAATAAAACTTATATATCATTGAAATTTCATAAGATTAGATGCAACATCATACATTTAGTTTTGTGGTTGTGATGCATGTATAGCAGGAGACGCTCATCCTGTCAACGCGGTCGGTCTTGTTCCTTTAGGAATGGATGCTTTATAAAGTGTTATGTTCTTAAAAATATTGCAACTTGTTGGCTGATGGTAGTATCGGGGACAGAAAGTCCACTTGCAGAATAGCTGACATAATAGCATTAAACCCCGGGGATGATTTCAAAGGTCGAATTACCAGTTCTTTTTTAAATAACTTTTCATAAGTTACGATCTAGCCAAAAAGTTTCGAAAGCCAGATGTTTTGTTTTAGTCAAGCATGTTCAATTATTACAACTCCTCCTTTGAACGAGAATGCAAATAGGGAAAATAACTTACGGGTTAAAATTGGTAAGGGTGCGAACACTTCAAATCATTAATGCGTTTTCAAAAAAGCAGTTTCGTCAATTAGGCAGTTATGTGAAATAGAATTTAAATATTCATGTCAATATATTTATGAACAAAGTTGACATAACGTGTCACTGATTTTTAAGAGAGGCGAAAGATACCAAAGCGACATTCAAACTCATAAGTCGAAAAAAAACTGATACCACCATGGCTAAAAAAGAAAAACACCAACAGACAAACAGTTCACAAAACACAGCATAGTAAACTAAAGACTGAGCAACACGAACCCACTAAACATCTTGAGTGATCTTAGGTGCTCCGGAAGGGTAAGCAGACATTGCTCCACATGTGGCACCCGTCATATTGCTAATGTTAGTACAAACCCGGTGATAAGTCTAATTCGGTAGGTCACAATCTGTGAAAAGGGGACGGGATTGTAGTTACGACAATTGGAACATATGTGTTGTCATCTGTGAAACAGATATTCCATAACGGTCAACCAACTTGTGATGGCGTCCGTTAAATTTACAAAGGGATGATTTCATTTTTACAACTTGAAACTCTTGGTTTGATAGCTTACTTGTGAGCAGCAACTCTCTATCAAGATTGTCAGTTGTCCCATATTATGCGATATAACCCCCTTAAACTTACTCTCACATTCTGGACCAAAATAACCAGGACGACAATCGCATGTGTAGTCTCCAAATTTGTCAGCTGAACATTTCCCTCCATTGCTACAAGGGTTAGGGATACAAGCGTTTTCTGTAAAAAGAGCAAAATACTTTTAAAAAGAGTACCAGATTAAGTAATGCGACTTCAAAAAATGCTGCATACAAAAATTTTTTCTAATCAGTCGAAATTTAAAAAACATAAAAGCATTGCAAACATTTCTGAAATAATAGCACTAATGTTTAAAAAATGACGTCATTTGCTTTCTTCCCGGTCTTTATGACCAAAAGGCTCTCTTTAACTTCAAATTCTGATAATTGAGTAATGGGGCATGAGACCGACGATATATAATTACAATCCAAACGACATCTTTTTTTGGACAAAGTTGAGTGTGCCATTCATTGTTTTTGAGAGCGGTTTAATGATTTGTTATATCGATTGAAGATAAATGATGATAAATGATGATCCTGTCATGATGACTATTTACATGGTTACAGTATGACTTCGATAATAGTTTATTTTTATGTTTGAGTTTTGTTGATATTCGGATATCCTATTTTTAAAATAATTTAGAAATCAATAAAATAGTTGACAAAACATTCATTTCTATGATCATGAATACACTTCGAGTACTCGTAAACCATTAGTTATTCGTTCAGCACGTAATAGCAGCGCAAATAATGAGGTAGTGGTATGACTAAATACTAGAATGACTTTAGAATGAAATTATAAATTCTTCTACATGAAAGGCCGTGCGCCTCATAGAAAGACAACTAGTAGACAATAGTACAACCACATCTCAGCTTAAGGTCTCCATTCGTTTCCCAGATTGGCTTACGGAGCATTCACTAAAGTCCATTCAAGTTGGACTGATTAATATTCAAGTGTTGAGCAGGGCCTACTGGATTATTTGCCCCTCTGGTTAATTTTAATGTGATCTAAAGAATACTTGAATATTTTCTATGCTAAACGTTGGCTACGATTAGTGCATTTTATTGGACATTTACACTAATAATCCTTCAAAGAATATGTCACCAGTAATATATACGGCTCTATTAATCATGATTTAATTCATCTTTTCTGGCTCATGTATGAGTCAGGAATACGAGAGGTTTTTTTTTCATATACTCTTATTTTTAGTGTTTATCTATATTTGATAACGATCCAAGATATTACTTTTTTCATACTACAATGTCATATGGGTAAGTCTCAATCAATCAAATTTGATAAAGCTATCAATATTTACATACAATGGGTTCAAAATGAATGCTATTCTTACTTGGATTAACGGATAACTTGGTTTGTTCATCAATGTTACGTACATCTATAATATAGGTCAATGTCCTACCTTGACATGTAGGTCCTGAGTATCCTCCGACACATTTACATTTATATCCTGTCTTGCCATCGGGATAACATCTTCCTTTGTTCTTGCATGGATTAGGTTTACAAACGTGTACTAATGATAAGAAATGAAAACTGTAGAATTCATCATATCAAATATATTTTACGGAGTAGCAGTTATGGTTTCAGGTGTAGATTTTTCAATAACTAGAAATGTGAAGGTCATTTGTTTTTATTCTATCATAGAAAAATATCTCTCGTGTATAAAGTCTTTATAAATGCTAGGCAATTGTTACATGAATAAAGGGGAATATTGTCTCGAGTAGATTTTCATATCATATTGTGAATGAAATATATATTCTACCTAGAATAATATTGTAAACCAACTAATTTTCGCGAGCAATTTATTTTTGGGACTTACGCGAGTAGAAACATAACGTGAATCTAAATTTTCGTGAATATTAGAAGATTGCGAAATAGGCTTGAAAGAACTTAACGCGAAAAAAAAGTATGCGCAAAAATAAGTTGGTTTACAGTAAGCATCAATATTCATAAAAAAAAAATATGAAATAACGAAAATACCGCACTCCAAGGAAAATTCAAATCGGAATGTCACTTATGAAATAACAAAATCCGAAGTTCAAACAATTAAAAAACATCAAACGAATGAAAAAACAACTGTCATATTCCTGACTTGGTACATGCATTTCCTTATGTAGAAAATGGTGGATTAAACCTGAAAGATATAGCGAAGCTTGAATTACTGTTTTAAACATATTGTTGTCACTGGTGACGTCGTTGTTCTTAATCTTTATTTACACTAATGCAATATGATATATTATTGCACGCTAACATTTTGCTTTGTTTTGCATTGCATACGTAGTTGTTATAGAATAATAACTGTTTGAGCAGCACTGTGGAGTCTAATGTAAACGGATCGCATCTTGTGAACCAAAGTTTAAGTCTGGTATCTTTGCCTCTGAAAATATGTCACTGTTGTTGGACGTTTTGTTTCGGGGGTATATCCAACCCAGTAGTCAGTATTGGTTACTCCTATAACATATGTTGACAAGATATATCCTGTGATAAGGCGTCGCTCAAAAGTGGATTGGAAATATCCAATCCTAAGACTTCACCAAATTTATAAATCATCGGTCATGCAAATGTATTGACCCTGACATTTGAATGAATGTGAAATTTTTAAATATTGATAAAAAATAAATGTCTCACCTTCACATCTAGGACCTGAGTATCCTCCACCACATTTACATTTATATCCTGTCTTTCCCCAGGGAACGCATTTTCCTCTGTTCTTACAAGGATTAGGGCTACATACATTTTCTAGAAATAGAAAAAAAAAATGAAGAACTAAGCGTAGCAAATGGATTTAATTTCATGTAAAATGTTTCCATATTTTGAAGTCATTTAAAGAAAGTGAGGCAAAGTTGGCATTACATGGTTTTCTTTTTTTGTTGTCTTAAATACATAAATTTGATTTCCTAGAATTTTGTTTCTGAGTCGCATTTGATGAAAGTACACAGCATTAGGACTATTGAAATAAATCACGCCCAATGACCGTGTATTTAAAATAAAGCACGCCCACTTACCATGTATAAACTATACACGATTTCCGCGTGTACGCCTTTTAAACAATGATATTCAAAGAAAATTATAGGAAGTAACTATGTGAAATTGTACAGTAAATCTGCGTTCGTTTCAATTAAATTAACGCATATCAATACTTACTTTCGCAAAGTCTACCAAAATTTCCAAGTCTACATATACATTTAAAAGTTTTACCAACAGGTACACATTTACTTTTATTTTTACAAGGGTTTGGTTTACAGGCGTTTTCTAAAAAATAAATGATGTTTAAAATATAATACAAAAAATCATGAATAAACAAGATATTACATTACATACATGTTTCATAAGAATCCGATGTCTATTGTATGATTCAGAAAAATCCTTACTGAAGATAAGCTGACATAAATAGAGAGGCATTCCAAAATTAGATTTTATTAACAAATTACAACATGTGCTTCCCTTGACAATGTCACAACAATGCATAGAAAAACAAGAGAGAAAAAAACACTGACCAAGGCACGTTTTGTATGAAGGGCTTCCACACTTCATACAAAATGTTATTCAGTCAAGGCGTTTATACATCAATAAAATTGCAAATATAGCATTAAATCCTGTACTGAACATACATTAAACGATAATAATAATCAAAATCTCTCTACAAGGCCAATTGCTGCGAAAGGTTGGTTGGTTTTTTTTTTTAAATCAAATAGAAAAGAGCAGGTTTGGATAGCGTTTTTTTCATATTTTACACAGTCATGACAGTTGTGTTGTTATACTTTGTTCAAAACGTTTCGGAATTTTGGGTCATCAGCATGCTCAATGCTCGTCAACTTCGAACTTTATTTGACTTTTTAACTTTTTTTATTCGAGCGTCACTGATGAGTCTTTTTTAGACGAAAAGCGCGTCTGGCGCACAAAATTTGATCCTGATATCTGTGATGAGTTTATTCAAATGGAAAACATGCAAGTTTACTTGATTTCCTTGTTCATGGCTATCAAATTCGTTTTTTTTCCTACCGTTTTCACCCAAAATGATCATGTTATGCAGTAAATAGTTACTTTGAAGAATGATCCGACCCTGTTCATTTTTGCAATCCCCCCACTCTTCCCAACGTGTGGAACAAATGAGTTGCTGTCAAACAATATATACTTCAATAGGCAAAATGGTTAATTACTTTAACAAACTGTTGGCTCTAAATGATCCAAATATAATCTCAGTCAGCAAACGTTTCATTTAAGTCTTTATTTTCTATTGTATGTAAAGTACTACATCCAAAGCGTTATTTTATGTCAGAGAAGGACTACTTTTACATATATTCTAAAAGCCTGTTTGTTTAATTGGTGGTTTGACACCTTCATCTGTGGTTAAAGCCTCTTGGTATTAGTTATACATGAAATAGCTTAATTCATAAGTCTTTCTCTCCAGGACAATGTTTGTTTTTCCTTGAATGCTTGTCCGGATATTTTCCCTTTTTTTTTAACTTTAGATACAAAGTGTTCCTGGTGGAATTTCTAGCAGCGCGTCTTCTCACCATCCTTAATATTTTAAATAAATATAGGGAAGATCAGTCTGCATTATAAACTCAAAATGATATATATAACATACTTTGAATACAATTGTATCGGATTCCGTAATATCAACCCCTGCAGACACATTCGTAGGTGGAAAATTTTAAATCAACATAAAACAGATCAGTCTTCATTCTAAACTCAAAGAGATATATATAACATACTCAGATTACAATTGTATCCATAATATCCACCTCTGCAGATACATTTGTAGGAGCTACCATTGGGTTTACATTGTCCATTGTATTTACATGGCTTCTTTAAACAGGGGTTTACTGAAATAAAATATATGTTATATGTATAGTAAAACCTGTTTTAAGAAACCACTTAAGGGAGAGCAAAAGAGTGGTCTCATAAGAGAGTTGTATTTCAATAGAGATTCAATCTCAAAAACATGCACTATAGAGGTGCCTGAAATTAATGGTATTATAACACAAGTTTGTTTTATTAACAAGTGGCATCTTTACCAAGTTTGACTGTACTAGTTACTTTGGTTAACATTCTCCAATGTATTTACATGGCTTCTTTAAACCCCTAAAATGAAAAATATATTTTATGTACTTGTTACAATGATTTACATTCCCAATTGTATTTACATGGCGTCTTTAAACAGGGGTTTTCTGAAATAGAATATATGTTATATGTACTTGTAACATTGGTTTACATTGCCCATTGTATTTACTTTGCATCCTTAAACAGGGGTTTACTGAAATAAAATATATGTAATATGTACTTGTTCCCTTTTTGCATCACAGCTGTTGTTATTATTAACACATAAGTTTTTATTTTAGAAACGGAAAACTACATTTTTTAATCAATATTACAAGATGTTGTTGATCTAAACTTGTGTTATCTTGAGAGAAACAAACTTCCGGGAATGTCTCTTTAACTAAATATACCTGTATCACGCATTGTTAATCATCAAATCTCAACCAAATGGTTAAGTGAGAAAAAAACTTAACTGGGACTTCCTGTTTTCTAGTATAAAATATAAAAGATATAGATACAGTAGGCAGACTTTTCACCAATTAATTGTCAATCTGTGAATTCGTTTATCAAAAGCGAGACGGCATTTTAAATTACATTGGTCCGAGTAATAAACGAGACAAGCTCGCATTTAGTTATCTATGTAATGACATTCTTCTATCTAATAAAAAAAACACCACAGATTGACAATAAATTGATGAAAAATCGACCTACTGCTCCTTTCTATATTGTTGATATTTGATACCAGAAAAGCTCAACAGGAAGTTCCAGTAAAGTGTTTTTTCTCGCTTAACCGTTTGGTTGATATTTGATGGTTTACCAATCGTGTGTATACCTTTATTGAAGTAAAGATATATATGATTATATTTTTACACGGACGAATGAATGTAAGTCTGCTGTACTTCCAATAGTCATGGTTATTTCTGTTACCCATTTTATGTATATTGCATTTAGTTTATAACTGGTATTTACCTGGTCTATATTTCGGTGGTGACGGCTTGTACGCTGTATCTGGTTTGTAGTCCTGTAAAAGAATATTAAATAAACTTATCATAGATACCAGGATTGAAATTTTGTACGGCAGACGATCTTTCCGTCTACAAAACACTCATCAGTGACGCTCAAACCAACAAAGTTTAAAAGCCAAATAAAGTACGAAGTTGAAGAGCATTGAAGACCCAAATTAAAAAAAGTAAATCATTTAAACAGAAATACAACTTCTAAATATATATCAATAACAATACTTATGAAAACAATTAATGAGTTTTATGTTATATGTCCCTGAGGTTTATGCTTTAAACGACATCCTGAAAATTTTATTTGAAAGAGAGATCATTTATTTGTCTTAGAATATATTTACATTTATTTTGTCTGATAAATTGCAGTTTTGTTTTTTTTTTTCCAGTTTTGTTTGTAACTAGTTAATGTACTTCACTTATTGCCTTGTGTCATTTTACAATGCATCTTGGTCTAATTAGTATATGAAACATCTTTTTAATTGATGGAAATACAAATCTCGCAACAAAAAATGCAACAATTTTTTAAATCAAAACAACAACATTGTAGATTTTTAATTTAAGTAAAAAAAAAAATAATCCTAGTTTCATATGTGGCAGCTATTTTTACATCCTGTTTTCTTTGTTTTGAAAGAGCACAGATATTTATCTCCTGAACGATTTGACCAGTTATTTAAAAAAAGGAAATATACACTATCTTAGTATATATTGCTTGTTATAAATATTACTAATGCTAGCTCATATTAATATTATATTATCCAAATGGAAATTTCAAATTCAGGTGTACTGCACCTTGCGAACAAATGTAAGTTGTCGCGACTCTGCAGTTGAATGAGAAACAGATCTTACCTTATTTTACGGAATTTTACTACAGACAGTTGTATTTGTTTTATAAATAATTGATGATTTTGATAGAATTTTAAAGGAATTCATAAATTTAAGCAATCAAATAGGGTATTTTTTTACATCCGCCATTACATTTATAGACACCGGGTTTTCAAAAATCAGCACCAAGCTCATTCAGGATGTTTAAATAAATTCATTAGGAATTTAAGTGGGTATCCAACACTTTGACTAAAATAGATTTGGCTCGTTTAATTTTCATAAAATTTGACAAAATGTTGACAAATAAATAAAATTTCAAGAAATTTAAACCACACAATTTACAAGATTAACTTCATTGGATATATAACAGTTTAACAAACACTAGATTTGATCATTGAGAAGACTGATTTCTATTTAGTAATAGTATTGATTAAAAAGTTCAGCTGATTTTTAAAGAGTTAACTGTGTTCTTGTATGTTGCATATTACGGAAGTACACAAACAGGTTGAGGAACAAAAATCTTAAAAGTCACTTGAACGGTTGTAGCAACCATGTTATAAGATATGCATTTTAAGCTAATAAGATACACAGAATATATTTACGCTCTTAATGATTTTTGCTGGTCTTGTTTTTTTTTTTTACCTTGTTTCAGATAATAGAATTCCTCTGTTTTTATTCATGTAGTGCCATTTAAAAATTTTCCCGCTAAATCTTGCTTTTCTTGTCATAATCTTATTACATATAATTTAAAAAGCAATTTTTGTGTAAATCTGATGAAATCCTTGTTATTTTTTTATAGTTTTTGAAAGAAAAAAGGTGCCAAGGTAAAATATATGAGAATTCTAAAAATTCATTTCCCAAATTTTAAATGGGTTTAATATATCTCGAAAGCATGGACACGGGCCTTTCCCTTTTTTTAAATTTATTTTTGCTTTTTTAATTCCGTTATTCATATAGTTATTATCAATTTATATTAATTTTAACGGTTCTGCACCAGATGTGCATTTCGACAATAAATGTCTTTTCAATGCTACTCGAGGCAATATATAAAAGTATTTTAAAAAGCTTGTTATTTCAAAACCGAGCAGCCAACATCCCGAACGTTACTGGAACGGTTATCAAAGACATGTAGTTAATAAGCTATTAAGATACATATGATTATAACTCTCTTAAAAAGCATGAAACTTTCTTTTACAAGAAACTCATTACTGCATTAAAAGACTTGCATTCCATTATATAGATCTACTACCTTAAATACAGCTGTAATGAACAACTTCTTTTCGAATAAAATCCCTTATAAATAAAAGCACTTGTCTTCATAAATTATAAAAATAAGGATATAATCGTGATATGATTGCCAATGAGACAACCTTCCTTTCGCCCATGAAGTTAAATTGTTCATACATTCATATTCATCGTCGTCATATTGAGTCGGTGCAGTTCCAATGCAAAGCTGTACAACCCTTAAAGTCACTGGTACTTTTTTATCAAACATTTTCATAAATATGAAATAAAATTCCTTATTTATAATAGTATTTGTCTAAATAAATTCGCCCACTGAGTTAAATTGTTCATACATACATCCTCGTCATCGTCATATCGAGGCGGTGCAGTTCCAAGGCAAAGTTGGGTACAACCAAGCAAAAGTAAGAAAGAAAACAACATGATGCTTCTGTGACCGTCTGTTTAATGCAGTTCAACAACTGTATATTTTTTCTTATATAGTATACCCCTTAAAGCATCACTTGATTAGCCATAACATAAAAAAAGCTGAAATTAAACATTCCTTTAACGGATTAATTTAATTGATGCATAAACAAACATTACTACTTTTATATAATAAGGTTGTTCATTTTCATTATTGGTTTATTTTCTCTATGTTTAACATCATCAAGTAATGTATGTAAACATCTAATGTATCGGTGGAGGTTTTATAATCTTAGGATTACACATACAATTGCTAGTGGGGCAAAATTAACAATAGAAGAAACATCGAGGATGGTGTCAGCTTGTCATCATATTTCCATTCGGGAAATGAAAAAGACCTCCAACTTTTCTGTTGTAAGCAAAACTACAAATTATTTACACCCGCAACTATCGAATCAACAGCAAAAGGTAAATGAACTATTTTATGAGGATCTGGGTGGGGACCTTCATTTTTATATTCTTTACTTTTTAAGCCTTTTTTCTCTAATCTTTATTTTTTTGTCCATTATTCTAAAGTCTACATTTTTTTGTTTAGCCGCTTATTATCGTCTATTCTTTATTTGCTTTACCTTTTGTTCTCTATTCTTTATTTTATGGTCCTTTGTTCTCTATTTTCACCCCATCCTGATCCTCGCGTATGTTTAAGTAGTAATTGTGATCCTAGTTCAAGGCTATGACTTTCGGTGACTTTCACTTTTTATTCATTTTTATAGATCAAGAACAAGCATACTGTAAATTCAGACATTTTTAATATATGCGAATAATGTGAATACTTGAGTATCGCAATAATAAGAATTCGCATTCTGATATCAAATACATATATCTGTATGTAGCTTTTCTTAAAATCGCAATAATTAAACTCACATTTTTGTTAATTCTTAAAAAATCGCAATAATAAATGCACGCAATAATTTCTGATATAACAGTATTTAGAAAAAAATTAGATATGTTTTAAATAGCATGCATCCGAAGCGCTTTTCTGGATTTACCTTCATCAGGAACACCCAAAGCCGAATATTTGAAAGCAAAGGATGTAAAAAGAAGTTAAAGAGCTATATAATAAAAAAAGGACCTAAAAATAATACCAAATCCATATGCACCTAAGGACAACTTTGCCTTTGTTTCTTAATAATTTCTAAATTTATAATCGGGCAATTTTAGAAAGATTTGTTATAAATCATGTCAATACTGAAGTACTGACTACTGAGCTGATGATATTCTCGGGGACTGATAATCCACCAGCAACACTATATAAAATGCATGCGTCCGAAGAGCTTTTCTGGGTTGACCTTCATCCATCAGGAATGCTCAATATCTGACCAAAATAGACCTAAGAATAATAGCAAAATTCATCTAAGGCAAACTTAATTAGTTTCTTATTAATTTTTAAATTTATAATCGGACAATTTTAAAAAAGTTTGTTATAAATTCTGTTAGTACCGCAGTACTGACAACTGATCTGATAGTCCTCGGGCAACTTCTTCAATATATACGTGCTTTAAAACCCGCATTCCCTAACATGAAATTTAATAACTCGAAATCGATATTCATCTTCTTAATTCAGCAGTTTTCACAATTATGTGAGAAGAGGCAATGCCTCAGCAGTCATATAACTACACGGAAGTTCTTAAGAATGAAATTATAAATTTGGTTTTGCACACCAAGCAATTCCATTATGCAATGCCCCTTTTGGACGTACATGTAATACCATCTTACAGTGACGTAAATCGGGTAAAAATGCTAATTTGATCGTAAAAATATTAATGTTTTCGTCGTAAAGTTTTGTTGGTTTGGACGTCCATCCGATTTTGAAACGAAATTACGTCTTCCGTGGACACACGCATATACAAGTTCACATTTTGTTGGTTACCTGCTGAGATCACAACTTCCAAACTTCGTTTTTGATGCATTAATTTTTCGAGAACTTCGTTATACAACTACTGTTTTACACATTCGAATCTTAATTTTTTGGGGAGTTTTGAGTCAACACATCCACAGTTTGATTTTTTTCACCCAAACAAAAATTGGTAACGGGAATAACTTCTTTTCTCTTATAAGATAGCAGTGACAGTATTAAAGGTAGGTGGTTAGTTTAATACAAGAGGTGAACTCTTTTCTTTTAAAGATTGAACCATTAAGCTATGTTCTTTGCAATTGGCACTACCAAACTCTCTCGAAGAACATTGAAACAACTTATACTTAAAGATTATTTTAACATAATTTGTTGAAATGTAATAATTAAAATAATAATTGAAATCACCATGTGCATCGGAGAATTCAGCAACAACACCAAAGTCTGTTAAAGTTTAAATAAATCAATTGTAACAAGAACGCAAAGTAACTGTAGATACATCGTATTTTGTAAAAAAAATCAAACAAAAGGTTCTCTGAAACTGACTTTATCAAGATGCTTGATTTCTTTATTGACAACATATGTTTTACTTTCGGAGAACGTGTTTTTCAACAATCAGTAATCCCATGGGAACCAACTGTACTGCTCTTTTTGTCAACTTGTTCCTTTATTCATATGAGACTGACTCGTACATGAGTTTTTGAGGAAGAAAAAAACTATCATTATCCTTTCACTTCATGTTCCGATGTATCGATAATGTCCTTTCATTAAATAATTCAAAGTTTGATGACTATGTTGAACGCATCGATCACATCGAACTTGAAATAAAGAATACAACAGATACAGTAAAGTCTGCTTCATATCTTGACTTACATCTAGAAATTGATGACATCGAAGGTCGGTTGAGAACAAAACTATACGACAAAAAAAAAAAATGATTTCAGCGTCATAGTTGTGAACTTTAAATTTTTATGTAGCAATATTCCACCAGCGCCTGCATATGGAGTATATATCTCTTAGTTGATACGATATTCCAGAGCTTTCACTTCCTATCTTGATAGAGGGTCGCTACTTTCAAGCAAGATATTGAACCAAGTGTTCCAATTGGTGAAGTTAACTTCATCCCTTCAAACAGTTTACGGACGCCATCACGAGTTGGTTGACCTTTATGGAAATCTGTTTCACAGATGACGACGAAAATGTTCCAATTATCGTAACCACAACCCCGTCCTCTTTTCTTCGAATATGACCAACCGAATTAGACTAATCATCAGGTTTGTACTTACATGAGCAACACGACGGGTACCACATGTAGAGCAGTATCTACTTACCCTTCCCGAGCACATCCCTTGTTTTTGGTGGGGTTCGTTTTGCTTTCTATGTTGTGATATGTGTATGGTTGTTTGTCTTTCCTTCATTTTTCCGGGGTTTTTTTTGCCATGGCATCGTCAGTTTGTTTTCGACTTATGAGATTGAATATTCCTTTGGTATCTTTCGCCTCTTTTTTTTTTTTTTGTTACGTCCGTAATTAATTGGTAATACTAAGCTGACCTTGTTCTGGTAATTAATCATACACGTAACAAAAATGTCTCGTTATTGTTACGCTTTCAACGTAATCGTTACCAGTGCCTAAATGGAAAAGGACACAGTAGTGCGATTTCTTAATGTTTGTTTACCGGTAAGTACATTACCTTTATTTCTCATGAATTCAAACATAACTAAAAGTGTATTGCTTTATATTTGTATTATAAAAACGTATGGTTTTACCTTCTATCTATACTTTGTACTGTTGTTAATAGTTCATGCTTTTCTCGGGCTGTTTATGACGCCTTTTACTAAATTCGTTGGATGTATACAGATTTATACTTAAGACTAGGCGAACATGATTTATTCATTTGTTGTAATCGACTTTGAATAACTTCCCTTTCGATAATCTTTATTTTAGTTATGTTTTTTTGTGTGCGTCGTGCCAATCGGAAGGGTCAAGCCATTTGCAACTGATTGTTAGTTTGTTCTTTTAATATATGTTGTGCTGTTGCACCACTGTCCTAGGCTAGGGGGATTTAGAGTTGAGAACTTAAACTTCTGTTTAATCCCGGAACATTATTTATGTGTATATATTAACAATTCTCCAAAACCTTTGAATGATCGTTTGTGTTCTTTGTTGCATTCTGGATAATCTTTTCAAAAGTGTACACCAAAACGTTGTGAACGGCCTAAACATTGGAAACTCAACAAATGACGTGACGTTATTTTCATTTTGGGATATGAACAATAAAATTACCCTCCATCCTGTAGTTTCTGAAACGGCTAATTCACCGAAATCTCTGTATGATCGTGTGTGCTCTTTATTACATACCAGTCATGTCTTGGGAACATGATTTTTATTATTAGTTATTGGCTTTGAACAAGATTTTAGTAACTGTGACTACTCAAAGGTCGATATGTTGTCTCTTTTTGTCTTTGTGTTAGTTTTGTTGCTTTGTATCGATCTAATGAGTCAAACCCCTTTCAACTCATTTTCACAGTGTGTTCTTATGTGGAACTGTTACACCACTGTCAATCCAAGGATCCTGTTTTTCAGCGGTTGTCGTTTGTTGTTGTATATCATATTTGTTTATTGTTTTACATTTGTCATGTCGGGATCTTTTATATATAGCTTGCTATGCAGTTTGGGTTTTGCTTAATGTTAAAGGTCGTAAGGTGACAAACAGTTTCTAACTTCTACGTCATTTGTTATCTAGTGGAAGGTTGTCTCAATGGCAATCATACCACAGTCTTTTTATTTTCATATACATCAGTGACTTCGCCATGACATAACCTTTTTCTGCTCAGGTGGTATAATGCAAACATTAATCAATCAATCGATCAATTACTTTATATCATATTAATCCCCTTTATGTACTCATGAATATTCATGAACAGGTTGTAAATGATATGTTAGATAGTAGGAAGGTCATGTCTGACTTCTGAAAAACTATGTGATTCGATAGTTTTACTTTTTACGTTGGAGTTGTTAATCGACTTTTTTAAATCATTGAATTACTCATATAAACTTGATCAATACATTCTCCTGTTAGGTAAGAAAGAACACATGTATAAGTGATTAAATGAAAATAACATTTCATTAATGTCATGC